GTGCCATCAGGACGAAACTTGACCTTATAAACCCATTTACTGCCAACAAGAGAGATCCCAGGAGGACAGGGAACAATATCCCAGGTATGAGTTTGCTGAAATGCTTGAAATTCCTCAGCCATAGCTTGTCGCCACTCTGGAATTTGAACTGCCTCTTGGAAGGACTTTGGCTCAACAATAGTATGAATGGCAGCAAGAAAGTTATGAAAGATAGGTGAATAAGAAGTAACAGAAGCATACCGGGCAGGCATGACATGTGGGCGTTTGCCTCGACGAAGAGCAAGAGGAACCTCAGGCGGGGGAGATGCTGGCGCAGGTGCATGAAGATCAACAGTATTTTCTGGAGTGAGAGTTGTGTCCACAGGATATGGATTAGATGGTGTAAGAGAAGACTCAGGTGAGGAAGAGTCAACAGAAGGAGAGGGAGAGATGTCAGGGAGATCTCGAAAGGAAAATTGAGGTGAAGAAGTGGGTGATGCAGTGGACGGGGAAGCATGATCGGTAGAGTGGAGGAAATTAAAGTCATCAGAAGTAGAATAATATGGAGAATCCTCTTCGAACTGAACATGACGAGATATATGAACTCGACGAGTTGCGGGATCATAACAACGATAACCTCGATGTTCTGAACTAATTCCTAAATAAACACAAGAAACTGCTCTGGGAGACAATTTATCACGTTCGTGAGATGGCAGAAAAACAAAACATCGACAACCAAAAACGCGAACTAGATCATAACGGGGAGGATGAGTATAAACACGACTATAAGGAGTAGCACCGGAAAGAGAGCTAGATGGAGTGATATTAATGGCATGAGTCGCGGTGAGAATAGCCTCAGCCCAGAAACGACGAGGAACAGAGTAAGAAATGAGCATTGATCGGGCAGTATCGAGGATATGACGATGTTTGCGTTCAGCAACACCATTTTGCTCATGAGTGTAGGGACATGACTGTTGAAAGATAGTCCCATGAGAGGACATGATAGAGCGCATGGCAGAGGATAGGTACTCTTTGGCACAATCAGAACGAAAAACTTTAATACGAGATTGCCATTGAGTGAAAATCATAGCAGTGAAGGCTTGATAAGCAGTAAGTACGTCAGAGCGATTCTTAAGTAGGTAAACCCATGTAAAACGAGAGAAATCGTCGATAAAACTAACATAATATAAGTAGCCAGATGAAGAAGGCAAAGGAGCTGGCCCCCAAATATCAGAATGTACTAAATCAAATAAGGAAGTGGATACAGATGTACTCATTTTAAATGGTAAAGCAGTGAATTTAGCCAATTTGCAACCAGCACATGACTCAATACTAGAACTAGATGATACAGGACCAAGTACTCCAGACTGAATAAGACTCTCCAGCCTTTTATTACACACATGACCAAGTCGTCTATGCCATAAATTGGCAGGAAGCGAGGTAGAGGGTTTTGACGAACAAAGAGAAGCAACAAGAGAACGTGGACGTATGGACTCTGGAAGGTGAAGATATTCCAGAAAATACAGTTTGTGCCTCCTACGACCCGCCCCAACCGTCTTGCCCGTCTGTGGATCCTGCACAATACAAGTATCAGAAGAAAATGAGACAAACAGGCCCGCCATGCATAAAGAGCTAATAGAAATTAAATTCAAGCACAATTGTGGAGCCACATAGACGGGACCAAGTGTTAGACGACCAGATGGATCATTTTGTGGGGTAATAGAGCCATACTGAGTAATGGACAATGGTTGTCCAGCAGCTGTGTAGATAGGAGGAAGAGAGGATGAAGTAAAGACAGAGGATAAAAGTGAGGCATTACAAGTCATATGAAAGGAACAACCAGAGTCAAAAATCCAGAGATCATTCATACCAGAGACTGAAGGATTAGCTGAAGAACCAGCAAAATGCATACCAGAGAGTTGTGCGGCGGATGTAGAGGTGATATGTTGAAAAGCATCAAGTTGACGGCGAAGACTTTCAATAGCTTGAATAGTAGAGTCTGAAGTAGTAGAAGGTATAGCATTGGCCAACAATCCTGGTGTACGAGAGGGTTGAGACTGAGGGGGTCGCCGACCACGTCCAGTACCTGAGGAACGTAACTCAGGATGAAGCTTGAAGCATGTCTCAATGCGGTGTCCTTCCTTCTTACAATATTTGCAAGAGAGCTTAGATCGAGCCTGTGGAGAGGGAGCCTGTGGAGAAGTATAATTCATAACAGGAGCAGTGACAGGTACAGACAAAACAGTCTCGAGTGAAGAGGTAGGAGTGTCTGTTGACAAATTGAGTCGTGCTGTCTGCTGCCGGGTCTCATAAGCAGTGAGAGCTCCCATAACTGAGGCCAAAGTCGGAAATTGAGGCTGGTGAAGTAGTTGATCAGCCATAGTTGAATATTCAGGAAGGGACTGAAACAATTGATGCACCTCATGCCGTTCGTACCAGGCTAGCCAGTCTTCATATGTGGAATTACGTCCAGGAAGCATGGAGCGTAACTCTGTCCAAAAAGCTTGCATTTGTCCAAAATGGGACTGCAGAGATGAACTACCTTTGCGTTGTAGAGAAATGCGTTGCAGAAGATATGCCTCCCGTGCACCCGAGCACTCAGTGAAACGCTCAGTGAGACGAGTCCACATGGCCTGAGCAGAGGGAAGCGAGCCAATCTCGACAGTGAGACCAGAGCCAACACAGCGAGTGAGATAATCCATAACACGAAATTCCTGCAATTGCCACTCTGAACTCTCCTTGACATAGAGAGCACGAGCAGTCTGAAGATCGACATCACCACTGCCAGAGGCAATAGTACTGGATGAAGCAACAGTGCTGATGGACGGTGGAACTGGTCCCGTACTGGTGAGATGATCAAGCAAACCAGCGCCACGCAAGGCATTGGTGACAATGGTGGACCACCCTGCCCAGTCACTTTGATCATTGAGGGGCAAAGGTGGTTTGGGAATCTTCTCTGAAGGAGCCATAACAGCAATCTTGAGACGTTAAGATGTCGAGATGCTGTTACTAATGTCGTTCGTTTGAGGCCGAGAGACGGCTTGAAACGACGATGCCGTTAATTTGAGACCGAGAGACGGTCTTGAAACGACAATGCCGTTAAAATAGAACCCGAAGGTTAGAATGAAACCCGAAGGTTTAAAATAGAACCCGAAGGTTAGAATGAAACCCGAAGGTTTAAAATAGAACCCGAAGGTTAGAATGAAACCCGAAGGTTTAAAATAGAACCCGAAGGTTAAACGAGAACGCGAAACGCGTTAAGAGGCCGCAAAACGACAAGGCCAAAATATCTGGCAGATGAACGCCAAATAATTAAAAATAAAAATAAAAAAAATAAAACATTAAACGGCTGCAAAGCAATAAAGCCAAGATTTGGCAAAAGAACGCAAAAGCGTTAAAAATTTTATTGAAAGGGAAATAGCCCTATCTCTGATACCATGTTAAAGTAAGAGAGAGAGAGAGAATCTTGGGTAAATTTCCCTTGAATTGAATATTGAGTGTGCACATATATTTATACAAGTAGAGGAGTGTGAGGTTTGTTCTCCCAAGCAATGTGGGACTAAAACCCACTACAATACACTATTATCAACATTCACAACAACAAATGAGAGTTATAAATTGACGACTCTCACATTTCAAAGAGCTAAATGCAATGATTACAAGATGTCGATCTTTGCAGAACTTGAAAAAGATATTACAATTAACGATCTCTTTAAAAGAAAACGCGAGGGTCCACCCTCACGTTCCAACTCTAAAACGCGAGGGTCACTCCCGCGTTCTAACTCTCAAACGCGAGGGTCACCCCTACATTCTAACTCTCAAACGCGAGGGTCGACCTCCGCGTTTCACAGAGCTGAACGCGAGGCTCACTCTAGAACGTGAACCTCGCGTTTGACTTTTTCAAACACAATTTGAACAGTTTCAAAACCGTTTTCCCACGTAATGGAGCCATTAAGCCCCCATTATGGAACGAGTTAAGGGGTTAGTTACACCCCTTAAACCTTATAAATAGTTGGGTTTAGAGCTTTTTGGGGAGAGCTTTTTGGTTGGCTTTTGTTGGAGCTTTTGGAGATCATTTGGCTTGACTTTTTTGAATCATTTTAGGTTGAAGAAACTTGAGATCGGTTGTTTAGCTTATTTCGTCGGTTGAAAAAGAATTAAATTTCCTTTCTGAAATTAACTCTTTCACAGAGTTCTTTAACTCGTTTAGAGTTCTAAACTTGCCTGGCAAGTTCTTCCTGACGTTAAGTCAAGAAGAATAGACAAAGTTCCACGAAGAGAGGCGTTCGGGTCGTCAACGGGATACAATAATCAAACTCACATCGCCACCAAGAAGAACCCAGCCTTAAACAAAGAAGGGGATCCGTCCTTCTATCTTTTGTAAATCGGGATACCGGTCAAGAAGATTATAATTTCTTTTTTTCTAAGTCAGCTAGAGAGAGATTGCAAAGAGAGATTATATTCGTTCTTTTCCTAAATCAGTTGGGAGAATTAATAACGTTTCTTCTCAATTTTCTTCTAATTTTTATCGCAAACAACATATATGCTTTCATTTATTATCTAATATCATTACCGATATGTTGTCTAATATTTTGTAACCAATTTTTAAGAGATCTAGTAATGAGCATGATTATTCAAATGCATTCATATTATATCTTTAATATGGTACAGCTTGAAAAGCTGAAGATCCTCTTAATAAAAGTATAATAATCAATTATCGCGATAACTTTCGAGTTCTACTTCATGGTAGAAATTTTAACGTGCATGGCAGTTGGTACTAGGGGTAATCTATAACTTTGGAGTTTTACTCGGTGGTAGAAAGCCATAAAGGTATCCTTATGTCAGTCTAGAGTTTGACCCATAAAATTTTTTACTAAAAATCAACTCTTAACCCATACAATAACTTCAGAGTTCTGACGGAGTGACAGGACATTTCTACCCTTTACCTAAATGAATCACACTCAAACTTTCATTCAAATAATTCAACAATCATGAAAAATCTAAGAACTCGCTAAACTTACTCCAAGAGATGGATCAAGAGGAGGATTATCATCGCTCGAGAGGTATCGAAAGAAAGCGTCAAGATCAAGTCCTCCCCCTTGGAAACATTTGAACCCCAAATCTTGAGAACCTACACCTTCAAGTTCATCACCTTGGACTTCCATTAAAAACCGCCGTAGCTGGTCCGTGCCCATGAGCCCGTTGTCGGAGTACCTTAAGAACACGTCCTTAAAAGCCTCCGCGGGATCACCGGACACAGGCCCGAGAGGCTGGCCGAAGCAAGAGAGCAACCCGTGCATTCTCACTTAACAAGAAATTAAGCGAAGGGAAACCAGGTGGGTTCTCTGAATGCTCGGGGACTTTAAATAACTAAGAAAAAGGAGTTTGGTCTTTATTTGAATAATTACAATGTAATCGGAGCATGTTTACTTTGTGAGTATAAGGAATAACTAGATGAGCGAACGGAGAAGACCTTGTGAAGACTCATGGAGTACAGTTCAGTGGGGAATAAGTACTGATTTCCTTATGTCTTTGCCTAGCAATATAGAGACAGCTTTCTAGGCTAAACATCAGAAGATGAAAAAAAGAAAAAAAAAATCCCTCTCAACTTTGGACGACTGCCAAATAGCCTCGCTAAACTTTCAAAATATTAGAAAACTCCCCTTAACTTTAGGGGTTATCGGAAAACCCCCTTGAAAGTGTAAACCGCGCAATTTTTACCGGTTAAAAAAAAAGGCTCCCCCGCATATTTTTACCCTTCCGGTGACAAATTGCGGTTAACACTGTTAGGGAGATTTTCTGATAAAATATTAAAGCTGAAGGGAATTTTGTGATAACCCATGAACTTAAGGGGGTCTTTATAGTATTTTTAAAGTAAAGGGGTGTTTTTTTGACAATCATCAAAAATTGAGGGGGGGGGGTTCTGATATTTAGCCAACTTTTTAATTGGGGTTCTTTGTGCTCTCATATATTCCTTTCTAAACTTTTCTGATAGCAAACTAAACTATCTGATGGCTAAACATTTACGGTTATCTCTTTAATACATGTATTATTTTAGGTGGGTTGCCAGTATGTTACAAATAGATCCCTTATCTTTGAATACATTGTAGACAGATCTCTATTCTCCCATCAACATTGAAGATGCGCCTCATGCAGTACAAAAATTAGATAATAAGCTAGGAGAGAACCCTATTTGGATATCTTGGCGTTCATTCAAGTTCTAATAAAAATGTTGAGCATTAATAACTCAGTTTTTAAACTCTATATAGTAAAGAAGATGTATCTGTAAGTGGAATTATCTCTTTTAATTATAATCATTAATTACTATTCGATGGAAATTTGTAAGTTGCTTATAGAATAAAAAGCAAGACTAAGTACATTTTATGAAGAACATCACATGATAGTGATAAGAATATCATGATAGTGATATTTGAGATGGCCACGCTCATTCAAAATGGCTTTAAAGAGCTAATACTAGACTTCACATCCTGCTGGTCATCTTCAATCTACAAAAAGCATTATATACCTTATATACTTAAAAAAAATATTATTTCAGGATATGTAAGAGGGACTGTAAAAGGAGATTCTAAAATGATAAGAAATAAGGAGAGAGCAAGAAATATTTAATGGAAGGATATTTATTAGGTAGATCGAACCACGGAAAAGCATTTGCATGAGGACAGCTATAGCTCGAAGAAGAAATATTATTATTTTTTTAAAAGAGCTTAAGTACGAAGTATATTAATGTAGAGTCAAAAGTAGGGGTGGAAGTGAACCAAATATTTAATAAACAATTCGGTTAATATTCGTCCAGATATTCGGTCATATTCGATCCGACAGTTCATTTAATACTAAATGAATATTTTTTAGTATTCGGCTTATAAACGAATAGAATTTAACTAAAGGTATATTCGATTCGACTGATTATTAACTATTCGATAACTATTTATATGTTAATCCTATTAATTAAACTTGTTGTAAATATCACCCATCAAAATTTTTATTATAACTTCTACCCATATATAAATAGACATGTTAAATTGTTAATTGTTAAGGGACCTAGGGACTAGGGTTTCACATATCACTATTAGTCTCCTTTGGATCATCAACCAACGGTTCAGATTTGTTCCCAACCCAATATAAATATCTTTCTTCAGCCATTTCATTCTCATAACCCTAGATCTGAGCCGAACTCCCCATCCCCATTCCCCAACCCTAGATCTGAGCTCCCACGACGCCCTCCCTCTCCCACTCCGACGCCCTCCTACAGTCCTACCGATCCGTCGACGCAGTCCCGCTCCGACGTCCTCTTCCCCGCTCCGACGCCCCTCGTCCAGCTCTGACGCCCTCGTCCAGCTCCAATGACGCTCTCCCTCTCCGACGCCCTCCTCCCCGCTCCGACGCCCTCGTCCAGCTCCGACGCCCTCCTCCCCGCTCCGACGCCCTTGTCCAGCTCCTCCCCGTTCCGACGCCCTCTCACCACTTCCCTCAACCAGCCCCTCCTTACAGCTAGTCTCCTCCGCCCCGCCATCCCCTCTAGAGCCGCCCATCTCCTCCTCGAACCCAGCCAGACCGACCCACCTACCTGCTGACCCTCCACCCGCGCCCTGCCTCCCTTGGATTCGCCACCGACGACCACAACCCCGTCAGGTAAAACTTTGTTCAAAATTTGTTTCTACAAAAATTATGTTTCTACAGAATTTTGTTTCTACAAAATTTGTTCCTCCCCGTCAGGTAAAACTTTTTTCCCCAAATTTTTTCCCCAAATTATTCATCATATATTCTGATTGTTGATTTTCAAAATTTGTTTCTACAGAATGTCATCTCCTAACATGAATCCAGCAAGTGATTCTCACGCTCCATCATTATCATCTTCTGCTCCTGCAAATACTTCTTCTCCATCATTATCATCTTCTGCTCCTGCAAATACTTCTTCTCCATCATTATCATCTTCTGCTCCTGCAAATGCTTCTTCTCCTTCTCCAGCTACTCCCTCCAGTGATAATACAGATAATGCAAGTAGAGAAAATGTGGAGACTACAAATCCTATTCAGGAGAAGAGAAGAAGGAAAAAGACTTCTGAGGTATGGGATAATTTTGTTGAAGTTACTCGTGCTAATAATGTTAAAAGATGGAGATGCAATCATTGCAAGCACGACTTTGCACAAAATTCAACTGGAACAACATCTCACTTGAAAACTCATTTAAATAATTGCATTACAAAAAAGTTGCATGATCAAAGGCAACGAACACTTAACTTTCAACGAGATGGTTCTACTATAGAGCACCCAATCATGTTACCAACTGGAGGAAAATATAACCATTTGAAAGTTAGGGAAGCATTAGCTCATTGGGTTATGATGCATGAACATCCATTTACTGTAGCAGAGGAGGAGGGTTTTCTATTCTTAATGAAAACCGTGAATCTTGAATTTATTAAAATTGGGCGTAAAACTATGAAGGAAGATTGCATGTCAATTTTTGAAAGTGAAAAGAATAAGATGAAGGGACTCCTTAAAAACATGGACAGAGTTAGTTTAACTACCGATCTTTGGAAGTCAGAAAATCAAAAAATTGAATACATGGTAATTACTGGGCATTTTGTTGATAAGGATTGAAACCTACAAAAATCAGTTCTTAGTTTTGTGCATGTGCCTCCTCCTCGACGTGGTATTGACATTGCAGATGCCATGAATAAGTGCTTCAAAGATTGGGGAATAGAAAATAAAGTTTTTACTATATCTGTGGATAATGCATCCTATAATGATGTTTGTTTAAGAACTTTGAAGACTAGCCTATCTAGACATAAGAAATTGGTTTGTGATGGAAAATTATTTCAAGTGAGATGTTGTGCACATATTCTCAATCTTCTTGTCCAAGATGGGATAAGTGTAATTGCATTAACTATTGAGAATGTGCGGGAAAGCATCAAGTTCATCAATCACAGTGAAGCGAGGCTCAAAACATTTTCTGCTATTGTGCAACAGGTATATCAAATCTATTATCATCTTTAAAATGTATATTTTTTATGTGAAAGTCTAATAATATACTTATGTATATATTTTTTGTTTAACAGCTGCAGTTAAGAGAAAAGAAGTTGATTCTTGATGTGCCAACTCGTTGGAATTCGACATACTTGATGTTGATCACTGCCCTGAAGTTCAAAGATGCATTTCCAATGTACAAAGAAAGGGAGTCCAATTATGATTGCATGCCAGAACCTGAGGAATGGGATAAAGTGGAGAAAATTTGTAAGTTATTAGCCGTCTTTCATGCGGTAACGAATCTAATCTCTGGTAGTGACTATCCTACTTCTAATTTATATCTCATTGAAGTCTATAGGATTAAAGAAGTTATCGATAAGTCACTACTAGATAATGATTTCTCTATTCGGCAAATGGCTAAAAAAATGCAAGATAAATTTGAAAAATATTGGGGAGAATGCAATTTGTTAATGGCAATAGCTTCTTTTATGGATCCTAGACTAAAAATTGGTGCGGTTGAAATTTGTTATCCTCAAATTTACTCTGAAGTAGAAGCTAGGATTAATATACAGAAAGTTAGGGATGCCTTGCAAGAGCTATTTGATGAGTATGTTGCTTTACATGATTCAAATAATGAGGAAAATAGCTCTCTGGAAGGTTCTATGGGTGCTTCAAGTGATACAAGCTCGTCATTGTCATCTTTAAGTTCCAACTGGAGTGATATCTTGAAAAAGGTGAGAACGAAAGATAGTATGCCTGCATCCAAATCAGAGTTAGAAACATACTTGGATGAGCATGTATATATATGTGGTGAAGCAGAAAATTACCATTTTAGTGCTTTGAATTGGTGGAAAACGAATCAATTGAAGTATCGTGTCTTGTCGAGAATGGCGGCCGATATTCTTGCTGTTCCAATTTCTACGGTGGCATCAGAGTCGACGTTTAGTGCTGGCGGGAGGGTAATTGATACGTATCGAGCATCTTTAGATCCAAAAACAGTTGAAGCACCTTATCAGAAAGTTGATTGCAGGTATGATTATCATTCTTTAAATACATGGTCGTGTTTAATATGACTGCCGTTAACATTCTAATTGCAGGTATGATTGCAGGTATGATTATCATTCTTTCTCCATGCAATTAACATTCTTTCTCCATGCAATTATGATTGCAGGTATGATTGCAGTCTTGTAATTAACATTCTCTATGCAATTAACATTCTTTAATAATTTGTTTGATTGCAGGTATGATTATCCTAGCAATTAACATTCTTGTGTGGTATGATTCGATAAGCTTTAACACATGGTAACATAAATTATTAATATGACTATGAATGTGATGTGTTTTACTGTAACAGACAGAAAGCTTACTTTCTTGGGCTATAGCTAAATATTGTAGTTTTATATAGTTGATTAACACTTATTTAACTGACTATATTGTGTTGATTCTATTATTATCACATGTTAGGCAGCATACTTAATTTCTAATCTTGTGACAACCTGATGCTTGTAATTAGACATGGACATGATTTTTGCCAAACTGTTGGGATGATTTCAGTGTCATTTACATGGAAAAAGAAGTTGAAGTTACGTGTATCTACCATAGATAATATGCTAACTTGCAGAGTACAACTCCGTTCAAAACAATGGATTATATGCTAAAAAAGAAAAAACACAAGGAGATGCTGTACATTCTTTTGCTATGTGCTTCTTTTGTGTTTGTATTTAACTTTTTAAGGCTTTTAAAATCTTCATATGATATTATCTTGTGTTCTCATTGAGTTTGGTTTCAATTTTCAGGATTTGATCGACAAAGAGCATTGTATGAGGGCCAAAATAGCAAACTGTGCGAATCTGGAGGCTTAGAGAAACTTTATTATTCAATGAGCTTTTGGAAAGTTATAAAAACTTGTTTATGTATGAGTTAAGACCTTGATGTGTTGCAAATTACACTTTTAAGCACCTCTTTGTTCCCTATGTAAGTGGTAATGTGATTATGTTTATTTTTTATGATTTTCGAATTATTAGCAAATACATATCAAATATTTGACGAATAATTCAAAATCAAAATTGCCGAATAAGGTTAAACGAATATTCGCGAATATTTTTCGAACATCAATATATGTAAACGAATCGAATTCGAATTTGTATAACTATTCGAACCGAATACGAATACGAACACGAATAGCCAAATATGAACCGAATTCGAATTTGAACATTGTACTATTCGTTCAAATTCGATTCGATTCCACCCCTAGTCAAAAGTTATGTGTAACCTCTTCACATTTAATACTTAAAATCATGAGGGAGACATAACGCACAAATTCGTCGAGGAAAGGGACTATCACGAGCTAAATGCATATATGTACATATTATTGACTTACTCACAAAGAAACGATTATATTGTTGGGGAATATCTGGGGCTACGTTAAACCCCTTTAACAGCGAAAAAACGCAGTATAACGAAAAGTACACCAAGATTTATGAGGTTCGGCAAACTTGCCTACATCCTCGGGAGCCACACAATTAATTTATTAATCAATAAAAAATTACAATACAAGAGCAGATCTCAAACTTAGGATCTCTCAAAATACAAATCAACACTGTAGCTACAGTGTTGATTCCCCCTCTTTAATAAATTCCCTCAATAAATTCCCCTCTTCTTTAATTCCCTTCCTCAAAATCTTGTGAGCTGATGGAGAAAGAAGAGAGACCGCGAGAGAGGAGAGAGAGACAGAGAGAGCCATCGCCAGAGGGAAAATTGCGAGAGAGAGAGAGAGAAGAAGACTCAGAGAAAAAGGCTCTGGGTTCCTTTTTATAGGGGAACCCTAACTACAGGCTGGCGACAGGC